TTTTGGTTCTGTTTTTGAGGTACAAACTTAACTGGGCAGGCTAAAAGAAAATTTCACATATTCTTTATCAAATTATTTTTAAAACTTAGTTTAGGAAATTCAAAGCTTCCCAATTTGCAAATCTCCAAATTCTCAAACTCATGAATTTCTATATACCGTACCATCGTTCCAGCAACCCGCAATTTCCCTACGTTAACCCGAAATTATTATCGCAAGAGAGAAAAGTTTCGCGAGCAGCGTCCGTGACGGCCGACACACGTTACTGCGCTGTTCTTACGCACCGGCGGGCAATAAGTTTGCCCTAGACCGCGATTCCGTGGATAATAAACGATATTCTCGTGGATCGATCGCGAGGGCCGGCAGTGGGTCATCGGTGTCGGCCACTCCTACGTCTTTCTGTCCCTGATTCTGTTCTTTAAAAAAATGGAAAAGAACTATGGACTAAGCCTATGCAATCTTTATTTGTGTAGTAATATAGAGTTTTGTCTGATGTATCCACTAATAGAGAGTGTTGTCTGTGAACCTATGTATGCATATGTGTGTGCATGTATGAGATGTGCATATGTGTATGTATGCATGTGTGTGTGCATGCATGAGTACATGTGCATATGTGTATGTATGCATGTGTGTGTGTATGCATGAGAACATGTGCATATGTGTATGTATGCATGTGTGTGTGCATGTATGAGAGTATGTACACAGGTGTGTGCATGTATGAGAGTATGTGATTGCATGTATGAAAGTATGTATATATGTGTGCATGTATGAGAGTATATGTATGTGTGTGTATGTATGTGTATGCATGTATGAGAGTAGTTGGCTGTGTGTACATGTATGAGAGTATGTACACATGTGTGTGCATGTATGAGAGTATGTGATTGCATGTATGAAAGTATGTATATATGTGTGCATGTATGAGAGTATATGTATGTGTGTGTATGTATGTGTATGCATGTATGAGAGTAGTTGGCTGTGTGTACATGTATGAGAGTATGTACACATGTGTGTGCATGTATGAGAGTATGTGATTGCATGTATGAAAGTATGTATATATGTGTGCATGTATGAGAGTATATGTATGTGTGTGTATGTATGTGTATGCATGTATGAGAGTAGTTGGCTGTGTGTACATGTATGAGAGTATGTACACATGTGTGTGCATGTATGAGAGTATGTGATTGCATGTATGAAAGTATGTATATATGTGTGCATGTATGAGAGTATATGTATGTGTGTGTATGTATGTGTATGCATGTATGAGAGTAGTTGGCTGTGTGTACATGTATGAGAGTATGTACACATGTGTGTGCATGTATGAGAGTATGTGATTGCATGTATGAAAGTATGTATATATGTGTGCATGTATGAGAGTATATGTATGTGTGTGTATGTATGTGTATGCATGTATGAGAGTAGTTGGCTGTGTGTACATGTATGAGAGTATGTACACATGTGTGTGCATGTATGAGAGTATGTGATTGCATGTATGAAAGTATGTATATATGTGTGCATGTATGAGAGTATATGTATGTGTGTGCATGTGTGCATGTATGAGAGTATGTGTATACAGCATATGTGTTCTATTATGTTTCACTGTGTTTATACATCACATATGTAACATTGCAGAATAATTTAAAAACTGCTAACTTCAAACGATCCTATTAAATGAAATGGCGATTTGAAGTAGCCCATCGCGGTCCAAAAGCGTTGTACAAGTAACTAAACGCGGTGACCGAAGGGTTCGACAGTTTTATTACCATCATTCGTTCCCTTCGTTTCACGATGTAAAGCGGGGAGAGAACATTTCGATCAACCGTGAAGAGACTCTTGTTCCCCTACAGAAAGTCGATCGGAAAACGAATCCCCGCCGAGCTACCTCGAAGCGTTTCCTCGGAACGCAAAGGATTCCTTTCCGGATCGCGAAACAAGAAAAGAGCTCGGAATTGGAAATGTTCCGAGATTTTCGCGACCGTCGTAGGATCGTGTCGTAACTAAGAACGTTCGACAATCCGCGGTTTCTAGGAAGGTCTTGCGATTTCGCGACGGAAACGCACGAGGAGCAACTTCTCGAGGAAGACTTCCAAGAATCCCGGCGAAGAAAGGGCACGCGATTCCTTTCGCGGTTTTAACAGGGCTTCTCGGAATCGCGCGTGGGTAGCTTTATTCAAATACTTGTACTCCTCTCTGCTCCTCTTCTCTTTCCCCGGTTCCGAAGGGAAATCGATGAACACGGAAGCAAGGGCGGAGGAGACGGTGGCTCTCGAGAGGTAATAACTCGGAAACTGTGGCCTCCGTTTTATTCTAACGCCTGACACTCGACCGTCACGTTCACGCTTTTCCACGGGCTTAAGATTTCCATTAATCTCCGAGAAAATCGGCTCTTCCGAGCGCCACGATAGCTACCTTCCTTATCCCGGGATTACGTTATTCCGATGGGGGACTCGACTTTTTATCCAACTCTTTCCGAGGCGTCGATACTTTTGCTAGCATTATTTTCTTAATCACAATTGACAATAATCCTTAAGCAATAACTAATTATTGCTATAATGTAAAAACGAGTGAAAGTTAAACGCCAGTGCAAGTTACATGTCAGGCATTTTGTATTTAACTCTAAGGTGTTGAGAAGAGGACTCGGTAGCAGCGAGAAAGTAGCGTCACGTGTCCCTCTGTCGACGAAAAAGAGAAACACAAAATAAGGGAATAGAAACCGTGCAATATTTGTATACATCCGTTATTTCCTCAACTTTCCTGCATCCCCTTATCCAGTTCCCCAGTTCAATTTTTGTATCAAAAGCCATCCTGAGAAATCTTGGATGCAGGAGACGAAGCGTCTCGACGCTCCCTCAGATCGCGTAGTCGCGAGCGCCGTGTCAAGGAACAGGTTGGTATTTCTTTCAAAGTTATTCAGCGCCGTCGTTGCATACGTGCCTGTGCGGAATTAATGAACGCGTTAGCACGCGGCAAAAATTCCGATTTTCTCCGCAGGCGTCTGATTACGAACGATCATTAATCCCGGCCGCGAAATGGACACGAAAATCGAGCGTTTCGTCGCCGCGTTCCGTGTAAATCGGACTCCATAGTTCGCACGTTCTCGGATTAATTTGCACCGAAACCTCTGTGCACCTCGCACACGTAACGCGCGTCGTGCGTGACGCGATTCCACGCGTGTGTACGCAGTTGCATTTGCTCCTGTCAAACGATGCGTCCAGGATATTAAGCGGCGCGCGTAGCCATTTAATATACGCCAGCGCGTTTCCTCGCGCGGCGGAATCGCCTTCCGTTCGGTCGGTCAACGCGTGTTTTTAATAATAAAAACCTTGTAACGAGAAGATCAACCTCTTTCGTCGTAACGAATTTAATATGGATTTCATCGACGAGCGATTTTTCCCATGCGTTCTCTAACGATCGCGGAGAAATCGCTCGGAAACAAACCGCTCGTGTGCATCGGCTCGTGAAGATGTATCGGTGATGAATCTACTGCAGTCTCGATATAAGTCAAGGGTCAGTAAACTCTCTGATAAATCGAATCGAAAACTGTTGATACAGATGATTAGAGATTAGCTACTTTAACTTTTTATTTTATTTTATTTAGTTTTGATATGGCGTCCTCTTGTGTCGCGTACACTTTCACATATATCATGTAGATCATCTTTAATTGTGTCTTTTACACTATTTTCACTGGTATCGTGTATATTACTGTCACTACGATCGTGTATATCATTTTCACTTATATCGTGTAGATGACGTTCACTTGTATCGTGTACATCATTTTTATTTATGTATATACGTCACTTTACTTTATAAAGTATAGGCGATGTTCATTTGTACAGTATATATCGTTTTCACTTATATCGTGTACATTACTGTTACTTGTACAGTATACATCATTTCCACTTGAATGTAACACAACGTTGTCACTGGTATTGAAAGTATAATTTTCATCAGTGTTTTTCACTTGTATGGCGTAGATGTTTTTTGCTTGTATCTGAAACTAATGTAGATGTACGCTAATATAATCGAGAGTTCGGTACGCAAAAGGAACGCGAGAGCGAATCCGGTCCGGTCGTGGGTAATTAGCGGGCACCGAAGGAAACGAATGTTCGTAATTATTCCAACGAACGCAGCAGGACACGGTATTTTAAGTAGCACGAAGCGAAGAATGAATCGCGCGGGAAATGAAAATCGCTTTAATAACGCCACTCTCGTCTAACTGTAATCCAGCCATTAGGAGTTGTTCGCGTTTCCATGAAATACTTTCTGCTCGTTTGTTCCGGCTGGATACAAAAGGTTTCTCTCTATCCGCGTTCGTGTATCCCTGTTGCATGGCTGTTCGCGAAGCGGGACAAAAGCCGCGAGGAAACGCGCGGAATTGAAGAGTTTCGCGACGGTTCAAAGAAACTTTCCTCGACGCTTTCGAGTCTATTTCGATAGAAGTTCGAAAGGTCTTTTCCGGGGGAGAAATCGTGGAATCTATGGCCAAATCTAAGTCAACGGTTGCTTTTCGAAGGAGAAAGGCTAAATTAAGAACCATTGCGAAAATACTGGGATCGAATTAGGACGACGGTCACCGCTCCTAAAACCACGGATTAGGGGAGATACAATCGATAAAATACCCTGTACAGTCCACTGCAAATATTTCTGGAGAAGAGACAGGGTAGAAGGTGGATTTAGTCATACGTGAAAAGTTAAATTTTTCATGTGTAATTTAGCAACGTAGAAACTTGCAAATGTAGTCTTTTGAACTTTGTGATATGAGAGCATATGGAAATTCAAGAACTTCAAACTAAAGAAATTTGAAAACCTAAAGTTTCAAAATCTGTTTACGCGTAAATTAAGAAAGTTGAAAATGAAAATACTTGCAAAATATTTGCAAGCTTCGGGAATTTGGAAATATGAAAGTTTGCGAATAAAAAAAGTGGCGACGTGTTATCCGCGGGAAGGTTGCAGAGTGTACCGGAGGTTGTCAAATATTTTACGAGACGTTCGCCGTATGCTTTTAGGAGAGAAGTCCGGCGGATATACGGGTAAACCACTGCCGACGTACAAGCCAACCTCGCAATTGGTTCCCTTGGGAGGTGCAGCGAGATTGTTTTGCGAAGCTTACCTGGGAAAAGTCGAGCTTCCGGACGCGAAAAATTCGGTCACCTGGTCGAAAAGCGACAGCAACGTGACGTTACCGAGTCAAGGGAGGATCGCTCAGCACAGGGTATCTAGGTAAGTTAACCTACTACATTTATAAGCATTAGTTTTTACGGTTTCAATTCGACACATGACGCACTCAAGCTGACATGTGACGTACTCAAATTCGATTTGATACGTGACGCACTTAAGTTGATATGTGACGCACTCAAGTTGACATGTGACGCACTTGATTTCGATGTGATACGTGACGCACTCAAGTTGACACGTGACGCATTGAATCCAACACGTGACGCACTCAACATGAGAGTCTCTATAGTGCAAAGTTGCAAGCACTATTTTCCGTTTGATACATGAAATAAAGAAGCTTGCGGATTCTCGAATACGAGATCGAAACGAGAGACTTGACTTAAATGAAAGTAAGCTTGATAGAAACGAAGGGACGACGCGTTACAACGGAGATGGAACGCGAACAGTATCGAACCATTAATTAAGGGACGTGCTCGATGGGGGAGTATCGGAATTTCTCTTTGATCCTAGAACGAGCATATATCGCGTTTACGGAAGCCACGGGGGAGCCGTGAAATACCTACCTGTTCTCGAAACGCTTGATAGGAGCTTAGCGAAATACCCCAAGTGATTATCGCCCATGTGACGCACTCAAGTTTAATTTGACACGTGACGCACTCAAGTTGACATGTGACGCACTCAAGTTCAATTTGACACGTGACGCACTCAAGTTTAATTTGACACGTGACGCACTCAAGTTGATATGTGACGCACTCAAGTTGATATGTGACGCACTCAAGTTGACATGCGATGCACTCAAGTTCGATGTGATACGTGACGCACTCAAGTTGACACGTGACGCATTGAATCCAACACGTGACGCACTCAACATGAGAGTCTCTATAGTGCAAAGTTGCAAGCACTATTTTCCGTTTGATACATGAAATAAAGAAGCTTGCGGATTCTCGAATACGAGATCGAAACGAGAGACTTGACTTAAATGAAAGTAAGCTTGATAGAAACGAAGGGACGACGCGTTACAACGGAGATGGAACGCGAACAGTATCGAACCATTAATTAAGGGACGTGCTCGATGGGGGAGTATCGGAATTTCTCTTTGATCCTAGAACGAGCATATATCGCGTTTACGGAAGCCACGGGGGAGCCGTGAAATACCTACCTGTTCTCGAAACGCTTGATAGGAGCTTAGCGAAATACCCCAAGTGATTATCGCCGGATACACAACGGGCTTCCGGTCATCTTCAAAGGACACGGAACGGAGAGAACAGGTAGAACGGCACGGTGACCAGGATAATTAATTTCGGTTCAATTATACGATACAGTATTCTGCCGTTGGCACTCAGAAGCTACATTGCAGTTTACTCTGTAATTATTTTGTTTTTATTAATCCGAGTTCCGATCGAATGTATGCCAGTTATGTCGTTAGCGTAGAATAAACGTCACACGCTCTGATGAAACGGTGTACTGATGTCAACCCACGAGTTGGACTCAGTTGAGACTCTGATCGAGACGCACCGATGACGCACTAGTAATCTAGTCGTGACGCACTCGTAAAGCATTTGTGACGCACTCAGGTCTGACTCAGATGCGACTTTGATTCGATTTCCAAGAAATTTTGTTAATAATAAATTGACTTATTCCGCGAAAGACACCAAGTTACGCTAGCAAAGATTTGCTGTTCGATAAGAGTTTAGTAGTTTAGGTATTGATCATGGATATCGAGATCTGGGTATAGGTATTGATCTACAGGAATTTAGAGATCTACAAATCTAAGAATATGGACATCTAACGCTATAGACATGTAGAAATTTCGGAATCTAGGGATTTAGCTACCGGTGTCGTAACATCGATCCTCCGAAATCGCTCCTCCGTTTATATGGCCGGGACCAAGCGACGACCATCCACACGAGTTGTACCGTGAGTCGGCGAGTGCCAGGTGTTCGGACGGCTCCGATCGGAATAGAAAAATGCTCAGATTTTCGCCGGTATCGGCACGATCGAGCGAAAGAACAAGACAGTGAAACGTTTCGAGTAGCGAACGTCGGAACGCGACATGGGACTGTTCTACGGTGGCGTCCCTTAAACCTGGCTCCTACGCGCCAGGAACAGGGTTGTCTACGGTACATACCGTAGTCGCGGCAGGAATTGGCGCGAGGCTGAGCCGGGTTTGGAAGGACCCAATTGGTCGAAAGAGAAATGTCTAGACTCGCACGTATTTTCGGTATTGGCTCGAATTGGGCGAAAATGGGCAAACGATAGCGCGGATTACTTGTTGTCATTATTCTTATTTGCCGAAATGTAAGTGGAAGAGATAGGCTTGTTAGGTCTCAACTCGTGGGGTGACATCGGAGGCTTGTTGGGTCTCAACTCGTGGGGTGACATCGGTACATATTCCAGTTGACACCTTATTATAGTAATATGGAATTGTTCGTCACAAAGTTGCACTTCCAAAAGATGTGATAGAATCTAATGAAAACTAAAGGTTTTAATATAGTTGGGTTTCTTTTACTTTGATCTTGCGCCAACTTGTCTGTTGACATTTGTATATACACCAGTTGTGAGACTCCCTGTATTATATATAATATTGTATATGTATAATATTGAATTCTTCATCACAAAGTTATTGTACCACCAGAAAATTTAATAGAATCTAAAATTTCTGACGGCGGTAACTGGAAGGGATAAGCTTCTTTCGGTACCAACTCATTAGTTGACATCAGTATATCCGATTAATGGATCGAATCCCCGTTATAGCGATAACGAACTCGTCCAATTCGATTGTTCCCAATTAATTACAACAGAGTACTCTCTGCTGAAACGAACGCGCATCTGTCGATTCGTCGATGAAGCGTGTTTCGTAACCGGAAGCGAGCCGTGCAATAGAAATTAATCTTGTAAAGTATTGTTCTAGCACGGAGGTGGTTTGGTCGACGTATAATCGCTTGCAGACACCCCACGTTGTCCGTGGTTTCCGCGAATGTAAATGCTTTCGTTCGAGCACGTGTCTCGCGGGTAAATTTCGAAATTCTCCCGCAAACCTGTCCTCCAATTAGTAACCGCATCCGACGCTGCTAGGATAATGCCCAAAACCAGAATGTAACTAGACACTGCAATACCATTACGGTTCCAACTGTATCGATTTCGGAGGGTCTTTTCGGTAACCGTTTACTCACGGGACAGGATTGCTATCTTCGATATCTTTTCCCAGTTCTGTTACCATCATTCCCGTTTCTGTGAATCGGTGCTCTTCATTTAGTTCAACTGTACAAATTTGTTAGATTTAATTAGAAACTCGTACTAGAAATTTTCATTCATCTTTGCATCTCCATCTGCTTAAATCCTCAAATTGTCACATCCACATCCTCAGGTCCCCAAAACCACATCCTCAGAACCACAGACCTCATATTCACCCGTTAACTAAATTCTGAAATACACAAAAGTGGAATCACTAGGAGAAGCATAGCGCAAAGTCAAAATGACCGGAGATGCATTACCTCTTCGACGTCGCAATGGAAATTTCAAGCCTTGGCGGTGTTTCTCGAGTGAACAGGTAACCTCGACGCAGAAGTCGTCAGGGTCGGCGAGTGCGATTGCGGGTCCACGTGATTAGCCTTTTTGCGGCGGCCCTTCCCTCCGCTGGGCATTATGGACGTAATAACGTCGGGACAAACTCGAAGTCCAGCTGGGGCGTGCAACAAGGAGCGTTCTTCCACGGAACGAGAAGGAGAGATCGGCGGGCAAGAAATTCCTTGGAATCCTCTTCGTCTCTCCTTTCGTTCTTCCAGCTCCGTCATTACGGTAATGATACCTTGCTCTCTTACCGAGCTAAGAATCGCCCCCTTTTTCGCGTGCCGATTCCGCGGTACCCTCGATCTCGAAACTTGACCATCTCGATTCTCACCGACTGCGATTCGTCTGACTCTGATCACAAAAATATTCCAATTAGACGGCGCTGGGGTTTTTCCACGCTTATCGAGATCGCATGACTTAGAGGTCTTATTGTTAGTTCATTTTTAAGGATCTGGTTTTGTCGCTTTTTAACTGGGTGGTGAAGTTTATTTATTAGCTGTGTTGCAGCAAGGTACTCATTTGGGTACATAGTGTATTGGAGGGTATAGTCAGTCGTTACTTATTGTTAGTGTATTCGTAGTCGGTTATTGCAGAGTGTATTCATTGTCAGTCGTTACATTGTGTACTCATAGTCAGTCGTTACTTAGTGTATTCATAGTCACTGATGTCATAGTATATTCATAGTCATTCAGTGCATTGTGTATTTATAGTTAATCATTACACAGTGTATTCATAGTCATTCAGTGCATGGAGTATTTATAGTCAATGGTTGCATAGTGTATTCATAGTTAATCATTACACAGTGTATTCATAGTCATTCAGTGCATGGAGTATTTATAGTCAATGGTTGCATTATTCATAGTCAGTAATTACGTAATGTATTTATAGTCAATGGTTACATAGAGTATTCATAGTCAGTCTTGTCTTTACATGGTACATTCATAGTCAGTCATTGCAGAGTGTATTTATAGTCAGTCACTACATAGTGTATTCATAGACAGTCACTACATAGTGTATTTATAGTCAGTCACTACATAGTGTATTTATAGTCAGACTCTATATAGTGTATTTATAGTCAGACTCTACATAGTGTATTTATAGTCAGTCTCTACAAAGTATATTCATAGTCAGTCTCTACGAAGTATATTCATAGTCAGTCTGTACGTAGTGTATTAATAGTCAGTCACTACATAGTGTATTCATAGTCAGTCTCTACGAAGTATATTCATAGTCAGTCTGTACGTAGTGTATTAATAGTCAGTCACTACATAGTGTATTCATAGTCAGTCTCTACGAAGTATATTCATAGTCAGTCTGTACGTAGTGTATTAATAGTCAGTCACTACATAGTGTATTCATAGTCAGTCTCTACGAAGTATATTCATAGTCAGTCTGTACGTAGTGTATTAATAGTCAGTCACTACATAGTGTATTCATAGTCAGTCTCTACGAAGTATATTCATAGTCAGTCTGTA